GAGTGCCAGAAGCAGGGCTCCGTCCTGGGCCCGGTTCTGTTCAACAGCTTTATTAATGGCTTAGATGAAGGATTAGAAGGCAAGATCATCAAGTTTGCAGATGGGAACATATTGGGAGGGAGAGCCAATACTCCAGAAGACAGGAGCAGAATTCAAAATGATCTTAACAGATTAAAGAGATGATTAGCCAAAACTAACCAAATTAAGTTCAACAGGGACAGAAAAAAATGAAATGCAAAGATACAGAATGGGGAAGGCCTGGCTCAATAGCAGTACATGTGAAAAAGATCTTGGAGTGCTTGTGGGGAACAAGTTAAACATGAACCAACAATGTCATGCGGCAGCAAAAAAAAGCCAATGGGGAGCCTGTGCTGACAGAGGGAGCTCATCTGCACTCTACCCAGATTCAGACCTCCAACCTGTTGGTCTTCAGTCCTACCGGCACAAGAGTTTTAATGCATTGCGCCACTGGGGGCTCCAATTCTATGATAGCCCAGGAACAAAAAATATGTTACCGTACATAGTGTTATTGTAACAAAAGTCATATTTAAGCTTAACTATTAAGCCTGTTAGACTTCTATACCACTGCTTCTTAAGGTCTCAGCCTCAAATGGGGTTCCTAGTTAGCTCAATGTTGGGTTCAAGAAAATTGTGTGCAGCATGCCACCTAGTGGCTCTTTCAGGCATTTACATGAATGTTGTGTAATGTTTGCAGTGGACTGCAGAAGATGCTTCAGTTGTACTTCATAAAAAGGAAAATCTGTCTGTTTAACAAGCTGTGCAAATACTGATTTATTCTCATAAATGTTTGATTTTGATGCCTATTTTATCTACCTATCTACCTGGGTTCACATAAAAAATTATTAGACTGAAAGAGGTCGCAAGTGGAAAAAAAATTAAGCCATGTTTGGCTATACTATCATGCTTGAGAACTGTATATGTTTGAGAAAATGCTCTAAAGCTTCATATCTCTTGGGAATCAATGACATAATAGAACAATAGGGTATCTACGAAAGTAGAGAAGAAGAAGTTGGCTCTAGAACAGGCATGGGAAAAACTTCCTCCCGCTGGATGGCCATCTGTCAGGGGTGATTTGAACGCAATATTCCTGCTTCTTGGCAGAATGGGGTTGGACTGGATGGCCCAGGAGGTCTCTTCCAACTCTTTGATTCTATGATTCCTCCCTCCAAGTGTTTTAGACTTCAACTCCCACAATTCCTAACAGCCTACTGGCTGTTAGGAATTGTGGGAGTTGCAGCCCAAAACTCCTGGAGGGCCAAAGTTTGCTCATGTCTGATCTAGATCCACTTCTTCATATGGAGTACCAAGAGGCATTCAGAACTCAGATGCAAAATACAGTGTGTGGGGCCACATATTATATAAGTGTGTGGTGCAGTTCCATTCCCTGGACAAGTTTGCCAAATCCAGTGGAAAGCATCAAACAGTACATCTTTCTGAGCAGAGGAAATAAATAAAATCATTTCACACAGAAGACAAGTGACAGATATGGGTTTGTGGTGAACCAGATGGATTCAAAACAGTACTAAGAATGCAGTTGCAATCTCAATCGGTGAGTGGAAGACCATTAAGATGGTCTCAGTAGCGGAAGTTCAAAAAGGAAGAAAATCAGATACAGAGGAGATAGAAGTGGAGGAAGCTCCTTCTCAGGAAGAGGCAGAGCAGAAAACTGGGGCTGGATCTATGCTGCCACATCATAATCCAATTTCAGAATGCAGATTAACTGCATTGCACTGGATTATATGAGTCTACACTGCCATGTAATCTAGTGCAATGCAGTCAAACTGCATCCTGAATCCAAATGATATGGAGATCCAGCCTGAGCTTTTTGAACTGAAGGAATGACATAAGGGACCGGGAAGAGTCTGCGGATTGAGATTTACCTCTTTTAATAATGAATTTTGAACTTGCACCTTATGTTTAATAAAAAAAATTGTGTATTTTAATATGTATTTTGTGGAAATAATATGTTTTAATATGTGTATTTTAATGAATGTTTTTAGATAAATGTGTGTTTCAGCAATGTTGTAACTCACCTCGAGCCATGAGTAGAGGCATGCAAGAAATAAAAATTATTATTATTATTATTATTATTATTATTATTATTATTATTATTTCATTGTTAGACACTATAGCTGTCTCCACTTTCCAAGGCAACCTGTCCCACAGAAGCATAACCAGTACTTCTTCAAATCCATAGGAATTGGTTCTTTTTGCACAGCACCGATTTGATCAAAACAGGGCTGGGCAACCTGACCCAAAGAAGAAGAGATGGAGACGTGGACCAAGAATGATCTGTATCCTTCCCTTTCTGTTTTTCATATGATCCAGAAGGATCACTGAGAGGTGGAAGCAAGAGCCCCCAGAGCAAGAGACCAGTCTGGTTTCAAAGAAAGGTGAGTTCAAGGCTCCATCTCAGCTGCTTTTACTGAAGTTGATGGAGTCTTGGATGGAGCAACAGAGTTGGAAGTAAGTTGGTCATTGTTGCCTTTGAACTTCTCTCAACGATCTTTAGATTCCTGGAGAGATTTCCTTACCACCAAATGAACAGACAAGCCAGCGGCAGAAGGAGCCAGTGAATATTGCTGTGAAAGCAATCCATGATTCCTATCAATAGGCTCATCCAAAGCAGATAGAGAAGATTGTACAGAGGAACCTTACGCTTGGAAGCAGAGGCAGCCCTAGGTAATTTTCAATGGTAAGCAAACAGTATTTTGCCCCCCCCCCCCACCAATCACTGATATATATTTTCTGTTCATCGTGGGAGTTCTGTGTGCCATATTTGGTTCAATTCCATCATTGGTGGAGTTCAGAATGCTCTTTGATTGTAGGTGAACTATACATCCCAGTAACTACACTTGCCGCACTTGCTCCCTTGCCTGGCCCGCTTTGGGTCCGGAGGCGTGCCTGAAGACCCCGGCGTGTGCACCCAAAGTCACCTCTTCTCCTGACTTTCTCCTCAGCCATTGGGACCGAGAGAGAGAGAGAGAGAGGTTGAGATGCCCACCTTTCCTGAAGGTAGGCGCAAAAACAAAGGAGGGAGCGGAGGTGGGAGATATCTCCAGCCGGAGGGGCTCTCTCTCTCTCTTGGTCCCAATGGCTGAAGAGAAAGTCAGGAAAAGAGGCGACTTTTGGTGCGCACGGGGTCTTCAGACACGCCCCCGGACCCGAAGCGGGCCAGGCGCGGTGGCTCCGCCCCTTGGCCCACCCGCCGATTGGGGAGAGGAGAGGAGGCGGGTGGAGCGCCGGGGGATCGGGAAAGGGAGCCGGTCATGGGGAAGGGATCGAACGGAGAACGATTGAGCGCCGGCTCTGCTCGCGCACCCGGTGGCCGGGTGGAGCAGGAACGAGAGGGGCTAGGCGAGGCTCAAGGGCCCGGCCCCTTTGGGAAGAGGATCGCCCGGCAGTGAGGCAAGAAAGCCGAGGCTCCCCCTGGACTGCTGGGGCTGTTGTGAGCTGAGGGGGCGCTCCTCAAGTGGCGGTCGAGGGGCATTTACAGAGGGCCTCTGCGCCCCTGGCAAAAAAAAGTGTTCTGCGACCGCTTACTTCGCGTAATGGATGAGCCGCCCCTGCTTGGAAGAGCAGTTTGATGTACTTGTGGAGTAAATGCCTGACAGTGGACATAAGACACCAAACTATGTCTCTTCTCCAAGGCACAATAGACAGTGTAAATGACCATCGATTTGGGGTTTTTTTTTCTCCTCAGTCAAGGAGCCAGACAAAGCCAAAATGGGGAGAAAAGTCAAAGTCAATCAAAACAGTCCCAGTAAGCCATAAGACAGACTCCAAAGGAAGATGTGAAAATGCAATGCAGTACTAGAGATCTAGAGATGTTTGGTTTTGTGAGAGTTGCTGTCTTTACACATTATTATCTTGGGCAATGACAACTGCAAGCAGTCCTCAAGTTACGAGCAAGAGAGGTTCTACAGGTTTGTTCTTAAGTTGAATTTGTATGTAAGTCAGAACAGATACACTTTTTAAAGTGTAACTCTGTGTGTTTCCTTTGCTGCCTGCCCCTGTTCAAAAACTTCACCTTGCTTTCTGTCCCTGTGATGACTGGATTTTGAACATTTTGGCCTGTTGTGAAAACAAGGATTGGAGATAAGCTTCAGTGGCGGCCCCTTTTCTCCATGATAATAACTCTTCCAGGAGTGAATTTCCCTTCCTTCCGGGGGTCAGATTTCCCTCACTTCCTGTTGTCTAGTTCTTGTTCTTAACTATGAGTTGGATGTTTGTACCTCAGGGACTGCCTCTCCCATGTTACCCACACACATACAAAAATGGACAGACATCTAGACCAGGCATTTTAGCACAGTGGGTCAAACTGCCAGCTGTAGAAAATCTTGCCAATTGAAAGGTCGACAGTTCAAGCATTGGTCAGGGTGAGCCTCCAACCGTCAGCTCAGCTTCTGCTCACCTAGCAGTTCGAAAAAAGCAATGTGAGTAGATTAATAGGTAGCATTTTGGCGGGGAAGTAATAAAAGGCGCCCATAAGGACATACTAGTGATTCAATTGGGAGAATGTCTAAGCACAATAAAACTCCTCAGCATGGAAGATGGAGTGACAGCGTGTGCGCACGCACGCACGCACACACACACACACATTGTGGCTGGAGTCGAGCACAGCCTCCAGATGCCAGAGATAGAAAAAGATGGGAAGCCTTTACCTTTGTTTATGTACTGTCTGTCTTTGTTAGTTGTATAACGGCATTGAATGTTTGCGGTATATGCATACTGTAATCTGCTCTGAGTCATCTTGAGGAGATAGGGCAGAATATAAATAAAGTGTATTATTTTATATTATTTTGGACTTCAGCTCCCACCATTCCTAACAGTCTCAGGCCCTTTCCTTTTCTTCCCCTTTTCCGCTTAAGCGAGCGTAGGGGGAAAGGAAAGGAAAGGGCTCGAGGTTGTTAGGAAGGGAGGGAGGGCTGAAGTTTGCCCATGCCTGGTCTAGATGGAGAAGGCACTCTTCCCACTACCTGCATTCGGTGATGCTACAGCAGTAGCTGCCACTCCTCCTGCCGCTTCGTCGATCCGATCGCAATTCATTCCTGGACTTCCTGAGGCTGAAGTACTCTGTGAGCTTCCCAAAGGACGACATGATGCCACTTCTGGGCACGTACATACATGTGCAGAAAATGGACGCACGCCTCTAAACATGAGTGCCCGCGGGTCCTCCTCGTCACTCCGGATGGGCCATCAACACCTCTTGGGCCGGGCAGGAGAGCTGAGAGTTGCAAGGGAAAGGAAGCAAGGACTTTAGGAAACAATCTTTAGGAGATCCTCCCTTACTTAAAACAAACACAAAGCCTTTTCCAATTAAAAATTATGAACGCACCTGTGGCAGAAATGCTTCTGCTACTTTAAAATAATACAGTTACGGCAGAACTGAGCTGAGAAGGAAAAATACGGCAGAACTGAGCTAAGAAGGAAAAATAAGCCCATCTGGGAAGAAAAAAAAATCCTTTGCTTCTGACAGGATGTATTTCACAGTTCCTGCTGTAAAGAAGGGCTTTTCACAAAGGCAAGCCTCTACATAAGAAGTGTGTGTGTGTTTGTGTAGCTGGGGAAGAGTTGGCCTCAAATGTCTTTAATTAAATGGGAGCTATCAACAATCTCGGCCTCTCACTCCTAAGAACCAAGCAGAAAGAAAGCAAGAAGCACACACACAACTCAACTGTGAGCAGTCAAATGTCACTGATCCTGGACTTCAATTCTGCTCATATATATTACCCAGCGTCCATAAGTCTGCTCTTTATCCAGAAAGGTTTACAGGCAGGAGTGCCTCTCTCTCTCAGTGGAGCTCATCTCATATCTTAGTATCATGATTATTATTATTTTTTGTCATGTCAGGAGCGGCCGCTCCTGTTGTGAAAGAATTGGCCGTCTGCAAGGACATTGCCCACGGGACGCCCAGATGATTTGATGTTTTATCATCCTTGTGGAAGGCTTCTCTCATGTCCCCGCATGAGGAGCTGGAGCTGATAGAGGGAGCTCATCCGCCTCTCCCCGGATTCGAACCTGCGACCTGTCGGTCTTCATTCCTGTTGGCACAGGGCTTTAACCCACTGCGCCACCGGGGGCTCCTAGTATCATGTTGAAGCCTGGGAATTAATTAGGTATTAATTAATTTTTAAAAAATCATCCACAATCATCTGGACTCCAGTCCTCTGCTCTGGGAAAGCAATGCAATCCTATCAGTGGGGAATTCTGCACAACAGACTGCCAAAAAGCCCCAAACTCATACACATCCATGCCAATCATCTCCCCGATTTCCTTGATGAAACAGAACGACTATGAATTAAAGGGAGGCCCTCTTCACAAACTCATGTGAATGTGATGATTATTTAGTTCAGGAAAGAAAAACACCAAATAGAAAAGCACGAATTTCACAAGATGTCACACATTTAATGGTTCTTTTGGAGAGGAGTAAACAAACTGGGACCTCAAATAAATGAAGTGCTCCGACCTTCTCTCCAATCTGCTGTAGTAGAGGTACCATATTTATGCAATGTGAAATGTTAATTGCTATTTTTGATGCCCTATAATAAAGAGAACAATCAATACGGCAATCCTATCCCACCGTCTCCCTTCATATCTATGTGGCTCAGGGTCTCCGGTTTCATTAGCTCTGGACTTCCATATTTGAAAAACAGCATCTAACATCAACAGTAAAAAAAACAAAACAGCTGCTTCTGAAGAAAGGATAAAGAAAGGGAAGATTATCGGAAGGCTTCCCGAAAATCTCAGCACGATGTTGTTCTCTGAACTATTTCAGAAAAGCATCCCAGCTCCGCTTGCGATTCCTGTTCCCGAATCCTTGCATCCTTTTCTCCCTGCAAAAGAGATGCCTCCAGGATGCCAAGGGTTGCAAAACCTGCATTCACACCAGCCAACATTGGCAGAAAGCGGCACCGCACAGCAGGCAGCGTTGGTACAGATGCCTTCACACAAGTAAGTGCAGCAGAACACACAAACACAGGAGGTGCAGGGAGGGCACAAAGACAACGGGTGTGAGGGAGAGGACAAGAGGAATGAGCCCAAATTAAATCAATGTGTGTGCATAAGGCACCTGCTGGCTTCTTTCAGCGGAACGGCTCCAGGAGATTTTGTTGTGTTAGCAGCAGCAGCAGCAGCTACCCGCAGCCTCTGGCTCTCTCCTCTTTCTCTGCCTCCTTCCCTCCTTCAGCCGCTTGGCAGCAGGTAGAATACCTCTCACCGCACCTTCTTGTTCTCTTTAGTGCTTTAGGAGGAAAGAGTACAGGTTGGAGATCCATTCACCTCTTCTCCTCTGGACAGCTTTCCTCTGAATCCCACACCCCGCCCGCCTCCAGCAACTCCACCTCTGCCTTGATGGTGTGTCTTAATTTCTTGTTTTAATCAATTTGCTGACAGGGAGAGGTATCAATACTGCGTTCGCTCTCTCGCACACTCAGCCCTCTCGCGTGTACAATCCAGCTCATGCTCTGTGCCACCCGCTCCTCCCCTCATCTCTCATCAGACCCAAGTCTGCCACCAAAAGAAAAGCAATATTCCAAATGCGGTATCTAGAAAACGACAACTGTGAATGGAATGATGCACCAACCTGTGCAGAGAAGTAGTCCAAGGGTGGCACTGAGGACCTTTGGAGGAAGGGAGCACCACACACTTCTTCGCAGGTATTGGCAAACTTGGGCCCTCCCTCTGGGTGTTTTGGGCTTCTACTCCCACCATTCTTAACAGCCTCGGCCCCTTCCTTTCCCTTTTCCTTTTCCACCTAAGCGGCTGAGGGGGGAAAGGAAGGGGCCTGAGGCTGTGAGGAATGGTGGGAGTTGAATTCCAAAAAAACTGGAGGGAGGGTCCAAGTTTGCCTGTGTCTGTTCTGCAGGCAAAATGTATATTCAGGAATCTCAGATGCCTTGGAATTCTATAATAAAAATTACCTGATGCAGAAGGAATTGTTGCGTCTTAAGCAACACAAAAGCAAGAAGAGCCAACTCACCAAGGACTCCCAATAAAAAGAGGGCATGAGGGGTCTCGACCAGGGCTTCCTAAACCATTTCCTACTCACAAACCCCTTCATCACCCCTTTCCGCCCAAGAAATATTTACTTGACCCCGGGAATATACTGCGAATAATGAAAGCATATGCAAAGCTTGCTCAACGGTCTGATTTTCCTTTTTTGTTGTTGAAGTATAGCTGGAGCATTTTTTTGCAGAGCCCACTGTAAATGCTCCACGGTGTTGCTATCACAGATGCGTGTAAATGTCTAGGCAGTATCCTAGTATTCAACATTGAGTCAGGGGACTGCATTTGGGACCAGGATCCACACATTAAGAAGCAGCGCTCTGCGCCAGGGTTTCCCAAAACTTTGGTCCTCCAGGTGCTTTTTTTTTTCACTTTGGCTCCCAGAATCCTTGATCATTTGCCAAAGCAGCTGAACCTTCTGGGAGCTGAAGTCCAAAACAGCCAGAGATCTAGAGATTACAAATCATCAATCTAGATATTATAAAAAATACATTCCCTCTCAGTACTCTACACTATCCATGTATTCAATTCCTTCCAATAAAAAAAACTATCCAGGGTTTTTGCCTGTTTGACTGTCTGCACTTCTGTAAACAGCAGTTTCTCTCTGTGAGGAAGAACTTCAATGTGGATAATACTGTAGATCTTTGAAAAACACTAGAATCAAGACAGTGTCTCATGAACACCACCCAGACACAGGAGGTCTTCAGGCAGAAAGCAATCAAGGGGCAGTGAATGCCACCCAGGCTAAGGATATCTCCGGGCAATAAACACTTCAATGGAACAAAGGCATGGCTGGGTTGCTGTGAGTTTTCTGGGCTGTCTGGCCATGTTCCAGCAGCATTCTCTCCTGATGTTTTGCCTGCATCTGTGGCTAATGGCATCTTCAAAGGTTCTGTTGGCAGTGAAGCGAGTATACACACACACACACACACATATATATACGCACATACACACACACACACACCTGTGAAATAATGTCTAGGGTGGAAGAAAGAACCCTTGTCTATTTAAAGCAAGTGTGGATGTTGCAATTAGCAAACTTGAATTAGCATTTCAGCAGCCATGAAGTTTGCAAAGTTAATCAGTGAAGGTATCTGCATAGAGGTAGCCTGGCCTCTGTTGCCTGGAGGCATCCTCTATTTGTGGGGTGTTAACTGGCACTTGGTTGTTGTTGGCTGGAGTTCTCCTGAGTCTGAGTGGTGTTCCCTCCTTGCTACTTCTAAGCAGATTCTCACTCCTGACTTGCTATCTTCTTAGTCACTCATATGCTAATGCAGTTTTTTTCAAACTGTTCTCCTCTAGATGTTTTAGGCTTCAGCTCCCAAAAATTTCAGCCAGCTTCCCAGCTATTAGGAACTGTGGGAACTAAAGTCCAAAACACTTGGAGGAGCTCAGTTTGAGAAACTCTATGCTAATGGTTGGATCCCACTCAACACTTGTAAATCAGGCTTGCTAATTGCACCCTTCACACTTGGTCAATAGGAACTGGTTCTTTCTCAAAACCTGGACACCATTCCACAGGTATATTATAGACTCCACTTGCCTGACTACAGTCAGATCTCTGAAAATACCAGTAGCCACAGATGCGGAGGTCTCCAACGTTGACCATTCCATACTATTGATCCAAGGCAAGGAATGCATATCCGTTGCAGATGTGGGAGCAGAAGCAGAGCAACACATAGCAGAGATAGATAACCAAGGAGGGGAGAAGAAAAGGCATTTGGTGTGTCAGGTATAGAGGCCAAAGAATTGGTCGCCTGCTGCAATGTGTGTGCAGCAATGGTTTCTTTTTCCTTGTTGTAAAATGTCTCTGGCTAGACATGCCGCAAGTGCAGACTGGTGACTCTCTCGGAAAAGGTCAACATGCTTCAGCAACACATTGACACTCTTCAGCGCATCAGAGAACACGAGGCCTCTTAGGCAGACTGAAGGAAGGATGGAGGTTGCAGAATCAACAATAGAATAGATTGCCAAGGAAAACGAACAGGCCTTGATCATGAGGGAAGCCACTGCCAGGAGCAGACCATGCACAAGGGATTCAGGACTGCGCCAACCAAGCAATGGCTTCCTCCCTCTTCCTGAAGATAATAAGAGACCAGGAACAAGTGACACACACTTGTGCTGTCTCCCCAGTGAAAACATTGGGACGTCACTGCCAATTTGCCTAACCTCATCCAAAGGAGTCTAGTGTCCATATCAAGAGAAGTCATGGTATCCCTCTCTTCTGCTTCAGTCAGGCCTCCTCACCTGGAATAACAGTCCTGTGTTCGAGTCCGGGCCCCACCATTCAAGACTTCATCCCACTGAGCATGCCAAGTGTTTGGAAGAGTAGATTACATGCAGCTCACAGGCATACTGTGTTATGAAATTAAATGGATGATTTTCCTACTTCTGTCACACAATAGCAAACTAACCCTTTTTTTTCAGGAGTTCTCAGTTGATTTGCCATCACATTCCAGAGAGCTGTTCCCACCCACTCTCCCTGCCCCCATTTCCTTTGTGAAAAGCAACATCTCATCTCCTGGACTATGATTTTTGTTCCTGGGTTATCAACATCATTTCCTAATTGGTTCTATCATGAACGAATGGGAAAAGTTTCCTAAACTGCAAACACTTTGTGAAAGGATGCCACGAGGAAGAGGAATCAGGCTTCCTTGATGCCTTGGAGACTAGGACTCAATGTAACCATGGATTCAAATGACAGGAAAGGAGATTCCAACTCAACATGAGGAAGAACTTCCTGACTGTAAGAAGAGCTGTTCAGCAGTGGAACTCTCTGCCATGGAGTCCAATGTAAGCTCCTTCTATGAAGGTGTTTAAACAAAACCCATCTGAGGGGGGTGCAGGGCAGACGGGGATTGGACTGGATGGCCCCTGAGGTTCTCTTCCAACTCTATATTCTATACTTCTATGATTCTATCAAGGACATGGAGCACTACCCTTCTCTACCTAGTTCTTCAGTCAACAATGACACTGTAAAGAACACTTTTGGCCAGAAGGGAAACTGTGGTAAAGAAGTTGAAGGGCTTAAAGGCACAGGTAGCATTCTTGCCCCTTCTATCAGTGAAAGACAGAGGAGCAGACAGAAAGAGTTTGCAAGTGAACAAACAGCTATGAAGACGATGTGGATGGGAACATGGTCTTCACTTCTTACAAGGACTGTTAGATACAGATGGACTGGGATCATGTATTTGGCCAAAACATGATGAATTGGATCAAGAGCACTTTAAACTAAGTCTTTGGGAGACTGGCGATGATCGCTCTAACATCTGTCTGAAAACAAGCTCAAAACACAAGACTGTGGATTCTAGAGGAGAAACTGAAGAAGAGGATGGGAGCCTCATTAAAACTTGTGGCAAAATAAAAGATCTGGATGAATAAGATGTCTACACGGGAAGGCACACAATTTGGAAAACAAACAGAAGGGGCTTTAAATCATCGTTCAGGAAAATTATGTATGTAATGTATGTATGTATGTATGTATGTATGTATGTATGTATGTATGTATATGTTTCTTTGAGGGACATCTGTAACAGCTCCCAAATGGGTTGAGCGTGCAGAGAAGATCTCTGCTTAGAATAACCTTTCTAGAGATCTAAAAATACATTTGGATGGAAACAATGCAGGAGGTCCAAACCGATCTCCCCATCAGTTATGACTGAACAGTTTGTTTCTGGATTAAAGCATTGACTGTAGTTGCTCAGACTAGTTGCTTATACTGATAGGCAGTAAACAAGCCTATCAGTATAATTGGGGGCTTGTTCCAGGAATTAGTTCTAACTCAGGGCCCATCCAGACAGTACCTTTATCCCAGGAGCTTCCGCAGCAAACAGGCAGGGTGGCCAGATGCCATTCCCTGTAAACCTGGAAGCAACTGCTACAAAAGGCAAAAAAGTGAGATTTCCAGGTGTGGGAATATCACGGGTTTGAGCCTAATATCTGGATCTTCACATGTCTGTATGTCCCTGCAATCGGAAATCACAGGATTTTATTTATTTATTTATTTATTTATTTCGAGGTTTTATATACCGACCCTCTCACCTTCAAAGAGGGATGCGGACCGGTTCACAACATGTGTTAACATACAAAAAATATACAATAACAACACAATGCCACTTCATTACACGATTAAAATATCAGCACCATACACATTAAAACATTATCATCACAGTTAAAAGAGCCAAATCGTCCGACACCATCACAATCCCATTCATCATCCTCCTTTCATGTGGGCAAAGAATTAAATCAGTTGTCAAATGCCGCGTTCCACAACCAGGTCTTTGTTAGTTTCCTGAACGTCATGAGGGAGGGGGCAGTTCTGATCTCTAATGGCAGGGAGTTCCAAAGTCGAGGGGCCACCATCGAGAAGGCCCTGTCCCTCGTCCCCACCAGCCGTGCTTGTGCAGGCGGTGGGACCGAGAGCAGGGCCCCTCCAGACGATCTTAGTGGTCTTGATGGTTCGTAGGGGAGAATACGTTCGGAGAGGTAAACAGGGCCGGAGTCGTTTAGGGCTTTATAGGTTAACACCAGCACTTTGAATTGTGCTCGGAAGCTAATCGGCAGCCAGTGGAGCTGTAACAGCGGAGTGGTGTGCTCCCTGTACCCAGCACCCGTTAGTAATCTGGCTGCCGAGCGTTGTACTTGCTGCAGCTTCCGGGCAGTCTTCAGAGGCAACCCCACGTAGAGAGCGTTGCAGTAATCTAAGCGGGATGTAACCA